GTAATCCTGGCCCCGATCCGGATCACCAATATTACTATAACAACAGTAATATTACCGTCAACCACAGTAATATTATTGTGTTTATAGTATTATTACAATAGTAGACAGTAATATTATTACGTTACTCTGTGAATAACGTAACTCAAACAAAACAAAAACCCCAAAAAAATAATAATATTGATGTTGTTGACAGTAATATTATTGTGTTTACAGTTATTTTACTGTCAACGACAGTAATATAATTACGTTGACTTGTCAACAAATCAAACAAAATAAAAAAAAACAATAAAAAATAAAAAATAATAATATTACATTAATTTACTGTCTACGGCAGCACAATTACATAAATGTAATGTCAACGGCAGTACAATTACGTCAATTAACTATCATTGACAGTATAATTACGTTAATTTACTGTCAGTGACAGCACAATTACGGTCAACGTTTAGCGGCGGACGTGGAAAAACAAAACAAAACAAACCAAAAAAAAAAAAAGAAAAACTTAAAAAAACACATAAAAAAGTCAACGCCGGAAACCGGCGAAAAAATCCGGAAGAAAAGAAAAAAAAAAGTCAACGCAGGAATCCGGCGGCAAAATTTTTTTTTTTGAAAAAAAAATGTTTGTGAAAAAAAAAGTTTTGGGTCAAAATTGAATAATTTGTGAAATTTGGGGTCAAATTGCGATTAAATTAAGTTAAAGGATGAAATTGGAGCATATTAAAATATCCTCCAAAAAAAATCAATATTGAAACCGGCGAAAAAATCCGGAAAAAAACAAAAAAAAGTCAACGCCGAAGAACGGCGTTGACCGCCGGAATCCGGCAGCAATTTTTTTTTTTTTGAAAAAAAAATGTTTGTGAAAAAAAAAATTTGGGGTCAAAATTGAATAATTTGTGAAATTTGGGGTCTAATTGAGATTAAATTAAGTTAAAGATGAAATTGGAGCATATTAAATTATGCTAAAAAAAAATCAAAATTGAATTTTTGTGGTCAAAATTGGATTTTTGTGGACAAAATTGAAAAATAATGGGGTTACAGTTAATAATTAGGTATAAATGGTTGAGGGTAATATTGGGATATACATGAATGTTTCCTTTAGTTATAATAAATATTAAAGGGATGGACATATTTGTGAAAGAGATATGTATTCTAAACCTAGAATAATAAACATGATTGGTTGGAGACTTATGCATAAAAACCCTTTATTTATTTATATTTTGATTAATTATTTCTTTAATTAGGATTACCCTCTTGTAGTACTTGATTGGAATTTCAAGACATTAACATACATATTATATACGACGGATATGGACATTTCGGAAAGATTCAAGAAAAAAAATCGTACTTATAATTAAACCTCGTTTTATTTAACCGTACGTATGTCCAAGAACTCCGAAAACACCGGCTCGACCCGTGCCGTAACTTATAAATAAACCCCATTTTATTCAAGAGTTCAATTACCGGACCGCGATACGTAATATTTGCATGCAGTATGTACAATATAAACCCTAAATATTTGTGTTTCCAGCTTCATACTGTTTAAGGGCACATTTTTTAATTTTGGCAACGACTGTGAAATCTTAAAAATATATATATATATACATATATATATATATATATGTATATATATATATGTATATAAACCTCTATAAATGAATACTGAAATATTAAATTATCAAACCAATAATTTAGTTTACTTTTATCGAATCGGGACCAAAAGAAACTATTATTTAAACAAAATTATTAATTTACGGAGATTCTAATTCGTATTTTTAAATAATAAAAAGGCAAACGGTTCTGAATCACGTCACGAATGCAAACCCCACAGTCCAAAGGCCACAACCATCCCTTCACTCGAAAGAAAAAGCTACATAATTTTGAATTTAAAAAAGGACAAGAGAAAACCTTAATCATTAATTAATTAATTAATTAATTATGCATCTAATTTAATGTGGCGTCTTTTCATAAATACCAAAGACTGTCACGAGTCACGCCCCATGAAATTATTTCTATTTTATTTTTATAAGATTAAAATTTCAACCAAGATTTTTTTTTTTTTTTTTTTTTTTTTGCAGAATAAAGGAATAATGGAATGGATTATTCCTTAATTGTGAGGTTTACGACTGATTATTTAAATTAGCGACCAATACGACAAATTCTAAATAATATTTCTTAAGCACCTCTTAAACAAATGGCTTATTATAAGTGCTGACACATCACCCTCCCCAAACTTATTTAGTTATTTAATCATATTTATTTTTAATATAATATTAATGCATGACCTATGTATTTAAATATAAGTTCGAGATGAGTCACAATGTATTAGAAAATGATATTTATTTATTGATAAATAAATAAAATGTTAGGCGTCCAGTCTATTGATGGAAGTTGCAACTTTAATTACAGGGCGACAATTTTTGTCGTTTCCAATCTCTTTCTCTATTTAATATATATACTCCACATAATATTTGTTAATAATTAATAATATTGTTAAATATACATTTGATTTGTGAGATGAAATTTACATATTAATTGGTATTTATATAATAAAATTCATTATTGGTACTGAAATATTCAGAACAAGCGTCTAATCATGCCAGCTCATCAGATAGCTCGTGAAAAGCGCATTTACCGGTTTAACAAACAGGCTTTTGAGATCCTACACCGGGTGAAATACACCGGGTAGATCTTTACCATTCATATACACACAAACACACACACACCCACATTGGTATGTGTAGATCAACGGTAAAAAATCACCCGGTGTAACCTTCACCGGGTGTAGGATAGATAAAACCTAACAAACACGAGATTGTTAGTAGTACACGTCATCGAACAAGGCCTATCTCTAAAATTATGTTAAATTACAATACCCTGGAGATATGGTAAATTACATAAATACCCCTACTGTTTCGATAATTACAATCACCCTTCAACTATAAATCTTCTTACATGTTCATCTCTGCGGTGTCAAATTTAGTGGAATCTTCTAGATTATATAGAATGTTCTCAATTTTGTACCCGTTTTATCTCATTCGAGTTCCACATTTTGAAACAAGATGATCATAAGATGTGTTTTTTGGCTTGTACATATCAGATTGTGGTGCATCAGAAACTATATTTTTCACAAAACGAGTGCAAACTAGAGAACATTACACAAAATCTAGAAGATTATGTTGAATTTGACACCATAAGGTTGGACGTGTAAGAAGATTCATAGTTGAGGGGAATAGTTAGAATTATCCAAACATGAGGGAGTTTTTTGTAATTGTGATTTACCCCTAAAATCAATATTTGAGAAGTTTTTATTTTTCTTCAAAACGCACTCTCGAAACCACGCGTTTGGCTGTGGTTGTAAACAAATAAAAGAAAATATCGTTACATGGCCAAATGTTTGGTATGGAAATAATTGAACCAGCAAAATATCAAAGAAAAAAACAGAGGAATCGAAGATAATTGCTGAATTAATTTATTTCCAATGAACACGTATATGATAAATAAATCTTTTAATTAAATTTTAAAATGGTGTGACGTGTGATATATTGATATTTGGCTATCATATGTAAATATGTAATTAATATGCTTGGTGTTTTGATGATTGATGTATATATGTGTAAAGGAAAAGAAAGGAGAAGAAAATAATGTATTATTTTAATTAGGTATATATATATATATATATATATATATATATATATATATATATATATATATATATATATATATATATATATAT